CAAACATTCGCAGAGACCTAACTTCAGGCAAGGCATTGTGCTTAGTGTGACCCTTGTCTCAGCCCCTGCCCATCCCCCCACTCCTCACTTGTCTCTCTCTAGTTTATGGCTAGCTCCTGATGGCTCCTCCCTGGTGCCTCTCCCACATCCAGATGTCCATTTGCAATCAGATGAGAGCTGGCTGGGCTCATCCGGGACTCTGGGAAACACAGCCCCGGCTCCTCAATGAGGACACTGCCTGGTGTCAGGACGATAGCCTATTAGGGGCCTCCTGGAGGTCCCCAGGTTACGTCCACAACCTAGTTCAAGGTGGCAGAGCTCGCTCATGTGTTGACAGGCAAGCCGTCAACGCTATGTGGACCCCGCCCCCCAGACCCCCATCACAGGCCTCCTTCCTCACTCCCTCCCACCCATACCTGCCTCTTGCCTCCTAGTCACAGCCCTGGGACTCACAAATGAAGACCAGAGCAGGAGGGAAATGGCCAGGCTGCAGATTCAATGAAAATAGAATGCTCTATAGATAGAGAGGCATAGATTTGAATTTCACTGTGTTACTTAACAGCTGTATGACTTGGGCTGGTCACTTAACCTCTCAGGTCTCATTTTTCTCATCTCTGAAAGGAGAATAATTTATACTATTGGGGTTTCTGCGAGGATTAGAAACAATATAAATGGGTGTGTTTTACCCAGTGGCACTCAGTAAATGGTAGCTATTATGTGACATAGGTAGGTCTTTTTATATTTATTTAATGTATATATATTTTCTCTCCCTAAATTCTTACAACCACCAGGCTACCGGGTCAGCCCACCGGTGATGTTGCTCTGAAGGGCTTGACTGGTTTTAAACTAAGGTCTCCTGCAGGGTCTAGACCTTAGTCTGGTACAGACGTGGGGGTTTTGGCCACTCTGTCCATGGTTGGGTGACCAACCGTCCCAATTTGCCTGAGATTGCCCCAGTTTTAGGATTGAGAGTTCCACATCCTGGAAACATAAAAGTTCAGTCTTGGGAAAACTGGGATGGTTGGTCACCCTATCAAGGCAGTTGACCCAGAGCAGATGGAAAAGAAGCTGGGTTTCCATAACCCTTCCCACCTTACCGGATAGAGAGGCTAGACTGGGCCCCTCCTGGGTTCCCAGACAAGGCCTGGTTAAGCTAAGGCCAAGGGTGACACCTAGAGGTTATATGAAGAACTGCAAGTCTGGTAGTTACCCACCTGGCCCTGAAGACTATTTAGTTGGTTCATTTATCTACTGAGTTCTCAGCATGTACCAACCCTTCTATTAGCCACTAGTAATAAGTCTTGGAGTGGGGGTGGGGGGAGTCTTGGAAGGCATCCTCAAGCAAGTTAAATTTATGCTGAGACCTACTGATTGAGAAGGTGTTAGCCAGGTCAAGAAGGGAGGGAAGGGCAAAAACAAAAGCTCTGAGTGGAAAGGAGGGTGAAACTGTCAAGAAACTAATCATAGTAAGGAGGAATTGGATAGTGCCAACCTGGAAAAAAAATAAAGCTGGAAATATTGGCAAAGCCTAACTAGCCACAGGAAATGTTTTTGTCTTTATCCCGAGGGCAATCAGAACTTAGTGAAGGGTGTCGCCCTAGCAGGGCGGCTCGGTTGGTCAGAGCATTGTCCACAGTGCCACAGCTGCAGGCTTAGTCCCTGTCAGGGCACATATAAGAATCCACCAATGAATGCATGAGTAAGTGGAACAACAAATCAATGTTTCTCTCACTCTCTAAAATCAATAAATTAAACATATTTTTTAAAAAAGGACTGAAGGGTTTTAAGCAGGACAGTAACATAACCAGATGTGCATTTCTCGAACCAGATTGCTGCAGGGTGGGGACTGGTTTGGAGAGTAAGCCTGGAGCCAGGGAAGCAATGAGAGATCAGTGTAGTTTATAGGTGGTGCAGAGACAGTGAGGGCCTGGGCTTCAGTGGTGCAGGGGGATGAAGAGAGAGGTGATGATTTGAGAGATGAGGAGATGGGCAGGGACATGGTGGCTGGCGGGAGGTAAGGACTGAGGGAACTCGAGGCTGAAATGTGGCTTGCAAGGAGGGCATGGGGGGATAAATAGTGATAGAAGGAGACTTGGGGAGGTAAACACACAATACAGTGCACAGATGATGTGTTGAGGAATTGTGAACCTGAAACTTGTATAATTTTGTTAACCAGTGTCACCCCAATAATTTCAATAAAAAGGGGGGGAAATGAGCCCTGGCTGGTGTGGCTCAGTGGATTGAGCGCCAGACTGCAAACCAAAGGGTCACCAGTTTGATTCCCAGTCAGGGCACATGCCTGGGTTGCAGGCCAGGGCCCCAGTTGGGGGCGTGTGAGAGGCAACCACATATTGATGTTTCTCTCCCTCTCTTTCTCCCTCCCTTCCCTTCTCTAAAAACAAATAAATAAAACCTTTAAAAAAGGGGGAGTGAGAAATTACTTGCAGGTTTCTAGCTAGGACCCCTGAGCAGCAGGACCGCTGTGGAGACAGGAGCACTGGAAGGAGGACAATGGTGCACATTGAATTCGAGGTTCTTACAGGGCATCTAAGTCAAGACGGCAAGTAAACAGTTAAACAAAGATTAGGAAAAGGGACATAAATATGGGGCCATATGCATGTAGATGGCAACCAAAGCCTAGAGGAGTACCAACATTTAAGGGCGAGAAAAGAGAGACAACACAGCCAGAGGGAATGTGGTGTTAAGAAAGCCAAGGCAAGAGCATTTCGGGAGGGACAGAGTGGTTGACTGGGTGAAACATTTCTGAGAGGCAGAGAGAGGAGATCTTAAGAGCATTAGTGACCTGCGACCCTTTCAAGGTGGAGCTATCTGGCAGTGGCTCTGATGACTAAGAAGGCCACTAAGTGACTAACACACGCACAGCCCGGACACACTGGACAAGGGGGATGATTCATGTGCTGGGTGGGGCAGAGCAGGACAGTGCAAGATTTCATCATGCTACTCAGGAGGACATGCAATTGAAAACTTATGAATTGTTTATTTCTGGAATTTCCCATTTAATATTTCAAAACTCAGTTGACTGCAGGTAAACAAAACAGTGGGAATTAAAACCACGGGTGAGGGGGAAGAGGGTAGGGGGCCACTGCAAATGCCAGGCAATGGTTCTCACTCCCCTTCTACAGCTAGAAAGGGCCCCTAAAACACCAGGAGAGGGCCCTGCCATAGGACTATGGAAGTGAAACGTCACCTCTTCCTCAAGAAGTTTCCAATTTAGGGAAGGATTTAATTACTGACAATTGCCAATCAAGCACATTTGTGAGGCAGCAGATAGGAAGGAGGAAGCTCCAGAGGTGCCCCAGGGCTAAAATGAAGGACCAAAAAAAAAAAAAAAAAAAAAGGCAATCTGCATGATAAAAACCCTTCACCTTTTTCTTTGCCCAAAGAAAATATATTGGGAAAATATTTGGGGAATTACTTCCCCCAAATAATCCTTTCTTTTCTTTTCTTTTGTTAATAGTTCTCTTGCCCCACTATCCTTCCAAAAATCTTCCATTTTGTACAACCCTCAGAGTGGTCCTTCTAGTTGCTAAATGAGTAGGTGCCCAATTCAATTCATAAATCGCTAATAAAGACAATTAGATCTTCAAAATAAACTTTATTTTGTTAAATTTTACTTAACAATGCCAAAACCATAACATGCTACAAAATTTGCCTTATTACCCCTCCTCTCCCCTCGCCTCACCCCTCCCATTTTCTTCCAGCTGCAATTGGCCTTCTGGTCCACCACCAGCCCCAGCCCTGCCTTGGGGCCTGCACACTTGTTCCTCCTGCTCCCTCGCTTCTGGCTTCTCGGGAATTCACTCAGAAGTCACCTAGAAATCTGATATTTGTTACAACATGGATGAACCTTGAAGGCATTATTCTAAGTGGAATAAGCCAGTTGCAAAAAAAAAAAAAAAAGCCACATGATTTCCCACACAACGAGGCACCTCGAGTGGCCAGCATCACAGAGACAGAAAGGGGAACAGTGGTTGCCAGGAGCTGGGGAGTGTGGAACTGGGAGTGTGGCGTTACCATTTGGTGGGTATGGGACTTCAGCCGGGGATGGTGAATTCAGTGAACGATGGTGAAAGGGCAAAGTCAGCGCCATGTGCTATCGAGGTGCCATTTGCTGAGCAGGCCTAGGACCTTGTGAAACGTGACCGCCATTTTACTCTTCTGAGTTTGTCCCCAGGACTGGAAATTACTGGAAGCAAGAACAGAACTAACCGCTCCCTACAGCCACAAGCGGAAGATAACATGGGCTCACCTGAAGCCCCTGTTACAAGCCCCACCCCACCCCCCACCCCCAGCCCATGGACGCACAACAGCAATCCCCCCCACCCTTTTTAATCCAATTAAGATCCAATAAAAGCTCAAAGCCCCTACGGCTCAATACTGGTGTATCTCTCCACACCACGCCCCTCTCCTTCCTTGACGAGTGAATACAAACTTTATTCTCTGCACTTTCTTCTCTTTGTGAATTCTTTCACAGCCTGCGTCACCAGCCACCCTAACAGATGTCAGTGCTGGTTGCAAAACACTACATATGTACTTAATACCCCTGAACTTTAAACTTAAAGAAGGTTAACATGGTAAACATTGTTATGTATATTCTACCACCACCACACAAAAAATAGTCTCCAGAATTTTCAAGCTAAAACATGAAATTGCTTAAACAAAAAACTACTTTACTTGTCAGGAAGAATTTGTGCTCCTCCCCTATTGGGGCTGATTCCCTTTGTTCAGAGGTTAGAGTATGAGAACCCAGCCTGGCACGGAGTGAAGACAGCTATTGTGATTTCGGGAGGCTCAGTGGCCAAGGGTATGACCCAGCCAGAGGTTCTGGGAAGGAGCAGCCTAGTGTCCCCGCTCTGCCCTCTTCCCTGAGAGAACCTCCGTAGGAGCTAGGAGAGAAGCAGCATTCGCTCCGCCCCCTCTCTCTCCCTCTCGCTCCGCCCTGCACTGGCTCCATGTGGTTTTCACTCTCCGTGCACAGACCTTGCGATCTGAGGCATCTCCAGGTTGGGCTGGTGTGGCAGAGAAAACCGTCCGCCCCCGAGTGATCCGTGTGTGATTTCTCCCTGGGGAACTGCTAAGAATACGCTCTACGGGCAAAACTGGACTCCACAGGTTTGGGACAGAGAATCCTAGAATCCCGAAAGACAGGTGAGCGTGCCCAAGGGAAGGGCAGTCCAGGGTCACTAGCCAGAACTCCATGGCCGCACGCGCCCGCCGCCTGTGCCATATCACCTTCCACGTGCCCGTGGGGCAGCCTCTTGCCCAGGATCTGCAGCGCCTCTTCGGTTTCCAGCCCTTGGCTGTGCGGGAGGCAAACGGCTGGCGGCAACTGGCCCTGCGCAGCGGGGACGCGGTCTTTTTGGTGAATGAGGGCGCGGGGACCCGGGAGCCGCTTTACAGCCTGGACCCGTGTCACGCCGTGCCCAGCGCCACCAACCTGTGCTTTGAGGTGGCAGACGCGGCAGTAGCTGCTCGGGCGCTGGAGGTGCGGGGCTGCAGCGTGCTGGTGCCCCCAGTAAACGTAGGGGATGAGCAGGGTGCTGCCACCTACACCGTAGTTAGCTCGCCGGTTGGCAACCTCAGCCTAACGCTGCTAGAGCGCGCCCACTACCGCGGACCTTTCCTGCCCGGCTTCCGGCCCCTGTCCTCCAAAACTGGCCCGAACTGGATCAGCCACATAGACCACCTGACCCTGGCCTGCAACCGCGGCAGCTCCCCCAGACTGATGCGCTGGTTCCACGACTGTCTAGGCTTTTGCCACCTGCCACTGAGCCAGGGTGAGGATCCTGACTTGGGCCTTGAGGTGACAGCAGGGTCTGGACCAGGGGGTCTGAGGCTCACTGCCCTGCAGACCCCACCAAGCAGTGCTGTGCCCACCCTTGTGCTGGCCGAGTCTCTGCCAGGGGCCACCAGGGGCCAGGACCAAGTGGAACAGTTCCTGGCCCACCACAGAGGGCCAGGCTTGCAGCACGTGGGGCTGTACACACCGAACATCATGGAAGCCACTGAAAAGGTGACTTTGGCCGGGGGTCAGCTCCTGACTCCTCCTGAGGCGTACTACCAGCAGCCAGGCAAGGAAAGTCAGATCCTAGCCGCAGGGCATGAGCCTAGCAGGCTGGCCCAGCAGGGAATCCTGCTAGATGGCAATAAAGGCAAGTTTTTGCTTCAGATCTTCACCAAGTCACTCTTTGCAGAAGACACCTTCTTCCTGGAGCTGATTCAGAGGCAGGGGGCCACAGGCTTTGGCCAGGGCAATATCCAGGCCCTGTGGCAGTCAGTCCTTGAAGAGGCAAGGTGCCAGGGGTCAGGAAGCCTGGCAGCCCGTAAGGCATCCAGCACAGGGCCTGGGGGAACGAAGAATCACCTAGAGGCCCAGAGTGAAAGGCTCTGTCCCTAGGGGCCAGGTGTGGCCTCCACCTCATCAGTACCTACCGAAAGAAACGAACGCTGAATCTCTCACTGGCGTCCAAAGAGGATGGTTGGTTTTTAACTATAAAATGTTTCTTACATAGTATATATCTAATACATGTGGAAGATATAAATAATAAAGGAGTGTAACTCCTTTAGGAAATAGGACATGACCATTACTTCTGAAGACTTTTGTGCCCTTCTCCGATCCCATTTCCCTTCACCCTCTCCCTATTTTAGGGCCATTAACCCTTTGCTTTTCTGTGTTGTTTCACTACGTATGCCATCTATCCCTAAATAAAAGATGTGAGGTAGAAATTTAAGACAACAAATCTTCCCCAGTGCTTTCTTCCTCCCTAAGGAGCAGCCACAGCAGCGGGAGGGCCAGGTCAGGGCTGAGCCAAACCACCCACGCTGGAGCCATGCTGCCTACTGCTCCAGAGCTGACCGGGGACTGGAATGTGGGGGTGGGGTATCAGCCACTGGCAGGGGCTCCCTACAGCTGCTTTCTCCCTGTCTCCTGGGGGCCAAGGGAGCTCAGATGACTGGACAGAACACCTTCCTCTGTCTGCCCAGGGCCGGCTGGGAGCTCAGCCAGCGGAAGTCAGGACCAAGTAGGACCTGACCACTTTCTGGGACCCTGAGGTAAGGGGACTAGGGAGAGGATGGAAAGTCTCCAAAACAACTATAAAAATAAGCACTTTATTAAACAGGATTCACAAGGGGTGGGGGCTTCCAGAGGTATCACTGGGCCACACTGGTGAGTCCAGGTGCATCAGTGGGGATGTGGGGCCGAAAGAAACTATCCAGGACTTGCTGGCCTCGGCTGGGCTTTTTCCGACTGGACAGAGGAGACACCTGGGATCTCTTGGAACTCTGTTTAGAAGCCAAAAAAGGCACTGAGGGGACAGCAACGAATATTATCCTTTCACCCCTACCCCCACTCCACTGACCTAACTCAGACTCTCTTGAAATGTAGAAAAGCTTCTGACCTATCTCTAGGATCTGCCTCTTTGGTCAACTCTCTAAAAGGCAGTCCGAGGTAATCTTCCTCAAATATAAATCTGAGTCCTCTCTCCATCTATAACGTTCCAGTGGCCTGGTGTTCACGACCCTGCTGACTGCTTCAGCTGAACCAAATGCTCGGAGTTGCTCACACACTGCATTGTGCCCACCGTTACCTCCACTAGTCCTGGGCCTGGAAGAACAAACATCCTTATGCTGATTCCCTTCCCAAACCCAGATTACCAGTTGCTTCTTTCAAACAGCTTTTCTTGGATCCTTGCCCCTTACTACACAGAACTGACAGCTCTCCACCTCTGTCCCACAAAATCTAATACAAACATTTCACACACCTGACACTACTGTCTCCATCATTTGCTCTGGTCCCCTCTCCATCTGGACCCCAGGCTAACTATAAGTTCTCTGGGTCAAGAACCATTCCCCTCCCCCTAGTGAAAATTGGAGTGGGTGATGTTCATCCAATGTGTATTGCTTAACTCAGTGGATTCAGGCTTAGGGAGAGATGGCTGGGTGAGGACCTGGGGACTCACCTTGTAGGTCCCTGGATGTTGCCCTTCATATACACGGAACACCTAGCCAAGAAGAGGCAGAAAGTGCAAGGCTGGCATCCTCCCCCACAGAGCCAGAACCCTGTGTTCTGTCCTCAACTTCATGCCCCAGCACTTTTAAATATATGCTATTCTTTTTCCTGTTTACATAGTAGTAGGTTCACACAGAACACGTAGGAAATACAACAAAAGATAACAAAGACAATGCCTTTTTCATGGCGGTGGAGACAGCAGCAGTGTGAAACTCTTCCCGGGTCAGCCAGCGAACGCCAGGTGGTGTGACTGTCACTGGGGCCTGCCCTGTCAGGGCCAGACCGTATACTTGATAGGTCAGCTTGATGTGAGAGAAGGTGTGGACCACCTGGGGGAGGACGATGGGGCTGAAGCAGGCCTGTGGATGTGGCTGAAAGTCATCATTTTTGGCCCCTCACTGCTCACTCACCTGCCCAAGGTGACACATGTGAGTGGCAGGGAGGGGCCCCACCCAACTCTGCAGTTCCTGCAGCAGAGCCTCGCGCTGACACCGCCCCGAGGGTTCCATGGTTACAGACGGGAACTCCCACAGCCCTGCCAGCAGACCTGAGACAGAGATCAGCAGGTGTGGTTGAGGCCTTAGCTGTTGACGCCTCCATTCATCCTCTTTTGCTCATGCCACTGCCCTCCACTCCCAGAACCCAGGTACCTGAATTGGGCCTCTGCACCAGCAGAATTCGGGCACCCCCAGGGGCCCCGGGCTGCTCCAGAACACAGGTGGCAGAGTATTCCTCCCTGGGGGGTCTGCGGCTGGCCTTTCTGGGAAAGTTGGTCACTCCCAGGGTCTGGTCCCAGGGCTCGGCAGGAGGTGTGCACAGCCGGCACTGATCAGTGCTGGGAGCTGGGGACAGAGCCCCAAGCCCCACTCAGGCCAGGTGGGCTTAGGTGAGAGCAGGCCTTGGCCCAGCTCTGCAGAATCTTACTCAAGTTGTAGGATGAACTGAAATGAGGCTTCCACGGGTAGGTCCTTGACAGTGCAGGGACGGGCTGGGACTGGGGCAGGCACTTACCACACTCCTCCACATCAGGACTGCCTGGCAGGCTCTGTGAGGCTAAGAGCTGTTTCCGCTCCACCTGAGAGGCACAGGGTAAGACGTCATGGGGCAGAGCTCACTCCTAGGACGGGACTGCCCCTTCCCATGATGGCTTACCCTCTGGTGTGCCTGGCATAGGCTCTGCACAGGGCACTGGCTGCAGAGCGGGTGCTGTGGGGTGCACACTGTAGCCCCCAATTCCATGGCTGCTTGGTTAAAGTCTCCCGGCCGGGCTGGATCTACCAGTTGCTGGGCTAGGCTCCTACCAGAAGGGAGCACTTCTGTGAGTCGAAGAACCTTTGGTGGCATCCTTCCCAATATCCCGCATTACCCCAACATCCTACCAGAGCTGCTGGGAGACAAGGGTGCTGCCGGGATCGGCACCAATGACTCGGACACGGCATAGCACCCGCACCACGTTCCCATCTACTACACCGGTCACCTGGCAGAGGAGGCTAGGAGTCAGCCTGGTCTGGGAAAAGAGTGGGCACACACAAAACGGAAGTGGGCTATGGACTCACCTGGCCAAAGGCAATGGAAGCAATGGCTCCAGCTGTGTACCGCCCCACACCAGGCAGGAGCCGCTGCAAGGTCTCTGCTGTACGTGGCACATGGCCCCCGAGCTCCTTTACCACCTGATTGGGGTAGGAAAGCTCAAGGTTAGGAGACACTTGAGGCCCTGGGGATCCCACCCTCCCTGCTACCCCCTTACCTTCCGGGCTCCCTCCTGCAGCCTCCGGCCTCGAGAGTAGTACCCCAGGCCAGCCCAGAGCTGGTTCACCTCCTGTGGGTAGGGTCAAAGGTCAGAGGGATCAGCAGTCAGTCCTCTTTGTCCCCATTCCCCCACCACCTCCCCGCCTTAGGGTGGGTCTCACCTCCAGGGAAGCACTGGCCAGATCCTGCAGTGTTGGCCACTTCTGTAGCCACAGGGTAGGCAAAAATAGATGAAGTCAAGGGTGAGGGAGACAGAAGAAGCCTTCTTTACCCCTACCCCAAAGGACAGGCTCTCATCTGGGATCTAGCCCATGACCCTCCCCTTCCTTCCCTGAAGTCACCTGCATCCATCTGGTATAATAGTCGATCACCGTGGCAACCTGGGTCTGCTGCAGCATGACCTCTGAGACCCACACTGGGGGAGAGGGGTTGGCATGAGGGCACTGCTGTCCTGCCTGCTCCTAGCCCATAGCTCCTGACCCCAGACCTAAGGGCATCCAGGCAAAACAGCTCTGCTCTCAGGAGATGTACTCACCAGCATATGCCCGCCTGTCCAGGTCCTCCTCACCTTCTGCCTGCCAATGCAATCCGAGATGGGGAGTTATTGTGGAAGGGGCTGGGCACTAGCCTCCCACCCCATGGTCTCTGTCACTGTCCTTTGTCTGCCTACCAGTCTTCTCCAGGGTAGGTCCCGCTTCTCTCGGTCGTACCAGCTCAGCAGGCTCTCCCGGAAGACTGTGACCTCAGCTGTATCTCTGAATAGATGGTCCGGGCAGACAGAGGCCTGCAATCCCACCTCCTCCTGTCGCCTGGCCAGGCCTGCCGGGGCCTCAGGAAATTCAGTTGTCCCAGAACAGGCTGTGCACACAGGACCTGGGCACTGCAGCCTGCCTGCGGTCTGCTCCCAATTAGGGCTCCCCGCACTCCCAACCCCTTGCTTAAGCCTTGGGCCTGGAGTCAGACCAGAATTTTCTGTGTTGTCTTAGCCAAGTTTCTAGCCTTAATTTTCCCAGAGTGGTACTGCTGGCTCCTTTGTCTCTGGGTCTTAATGAAAATCCAACAGTTTCAGCCAAGCGTAACATACCTGTGCAGGGCTTTCCCATGTAAAAAATACTTTCAGGCTGATAAACTCATTTGATCCCATGAAAGCCACATGAGAAAGAAAATGCAGACTACTGTTCCATGCTGCTGGTAAGAAAGCAGCCATTCAGAGCAATTATCCCAAAGTCACGAAGCAAAGTCAGAATCAGATCTGTAATTAGTCCCTTAATACCTTGATATATAATATATATACCATACTCCCTTCCTAGCCTGAATCTGCACCCTTTCGTGGCCAATGAAACCTGCCCCGAGTTTTTTACTAGCCCCGAGCTCCTCACCATCAGGGACAGAGGGCTTGGCCTGGTTGCTGCTGGGGGCATGTTTCTTCCTTCTCTCCCGGCTGGATGCCTGCTTCCTGCAATGACTTCCCACAGCTGCTCGCGGCTTCTTCATGATGGCCTAGAACACAAAGGCCCAGACCAAGTAGTCAGTCAAAATGAGGCTGAGTCTTGGGGCCCTGCAGAGGGTGGAGTAATTTGAGGTTTGTAGAGATTAAGCAGCTTGTCCATTCAAACCCAAAAAGTTTGCTTCCAGAGCCTATCCTTGTGTTCTCTGCTATACTGCAGTCCCTGCTGAGCCTCTGCGAACTCTCAAACTTTTGACTTTATTACCTCATTTTCATCAAAAGAGCTTGTTTCCTTTTTGAGGAAAAAAAAAAAAGAATATATACAAGCTTACCTCCATCTACACTCTCCTTCTACGAAAAGTGGTCCCTCCTCCTAAATAGAGCTCAAGGTCCTGTTCCTCCAAGCCCCTCCACAAGACCACTCTCCTCCCCTTCATAGCCAAACTTCCTTCACCAACTCACTTACTTCCATAATTCATTCTACAATCCATTCTCCACAGAGTAAAGTGATCTTTTAAGACATGATCATGTCCCTTACTTAAAACTTTCAGTAGCTTCCCATTAGTTCGTTCAACAAATATTTATGGAGTGCCCATGTGCCAAGCAGACACACAGTCTAGATACTTGAACACTTCGCTAAATCAAGCATCAAGGGTTCCTGCCCTCATGGTGTTTACGAGTATACTCTAATGTTCTAATGAGGGCAGACAATAAATAATATACATGAGTAAATAACATAGGATGTTAGGTGATAAACACTAGCATAAAGAGTAGAGCAGGTAAAGGGGATAAGAAATGGGTAGGGGTAGAAGGTTGCAATGTTAAAGAATGTGGTCATGGTGGGCCTTATTAAAATGATATTTGACCAATGACTTGAAGCAGTTACAGAAGTTAGCCGTGTGGACCCCTGTGGGAAAGGCATACTAAGGAGCTAGTGTAAAGGCCCTAAGGAGGGTGCCTGCTATGTTTGTGGAACCATAAGGAAGCCAACGTGGTTAGAATTGAATGAGGAAGGGATGAGGAGTAGAAAATAAAGTCAGAGAAATAGGGTAAAGAAGGTGGGGGGCACAGCATCACCAAGTACCTTGTAGGCCACTGGAGGATTTTGGATGTCACACCCATTGCTCTTAGAAGCCAATCCTCTTAACATATATAGCCTTGCAAGCTCCAAGACCCCATCTACCTTCATCCCCTAGGTCACTATGCTCCAGCCATGTTTGCTTGAAATAGATGCTTCACTCTGGACAGACACCACCTTGAGGCCTCATCCAGTCCATGTCCTCTGCTGGGACAGCTCTCCTATGCTTTACCCAACATCTACTCATTTTTCAGGCCTTTTTTTTTTTTTTTCCTTCCTTCAGGTCTTGACTTAAATGCCCCAATCAGATACCCTGGGTCCTGCCCTCTTGTGTACATTTCCACTGTTGCTCTTACACCAATTGCAATTTGACATTTATTTATGATTCTCTGATCTATGTCTGGTTCCCCAACTTGACTGTAAAACTCCATGAGAGCAAATACTGGGTCTCTTTTATGACTGTTGTGTCCCCTGAGCTAAGCCCAGTGCCAGGTCAATTGAAAGCAAACACTTGGCTTCCTTATGAGGAAACCATGAGGGGTTTTTCTTATTTTTAGAATGGGAGAAATCCAAAAAATTCTGAATAATGACGAAAAGGACTCAGTAGAGAGAAAGGATGAATATGAACTAGAAACAGTGAATAACCAAGAAGAAAGGGTTGAGAGTCTTTGGTAGGAACTGGAGATCTTGGGAAAGGGCTGCTCTTTGGTAGGGATACCGCCCTCTGGGTGGCAGGAGTCATGTCCAATCACCCTCGAGGTCAACTTCCCTCCGAACTGCTTACAATTTGTCTCCTCCCCATAGTTTCCATTGCTGGAGCCTTAATTCAAGTCTTTAGCATTACTTGCTTGGATTATTTCCAAAGCTTCCCTGCTAGTGGATTGCTCTAACCCCTCTGCAGCCTCGGCTCATGCCCACCTCCTCGCCTCCCACTTCCTGGAACACAGTGAGCCCCATCCTTCCAGGGCACTTGCCCTTTCCTAGAATGTTCATCTTTCCCCTACATTTCCCGGTACTCGCCTACTCGTGATTTGAACTTAGCTGCGGCAGCGCCACCTCCTTCTAGAACACCCACCTCTAACCGGGAGCTGCGTCCACGAAGACAGCCTAAATCTCAAGCCCTCCTGCCCTCTAACTTGAACGCCAAATTACTTCCCGCGCCTCGGTCTAGGGGGCGTGGCTCCGGCCAATCCGGCAACGAGGCGACCCGCGATAGCCAATAGGCTCCCAGAATGCTGCGAACCCACTTCTCCGCGCCAGGCCCGGGAGGTCTGAACCGAAATACGACCCTCCAGCGACTTCCGGAGGCGACCGTCTGCGCCCACCCCCGACCGAGTAAATCGCGCCAGGAGACAAAGCGGAAGTTCCGCGTACCCACAGATTATTCAGGAGAGGGACCCACGGTGTCATGGCGGCCAGCGGTGGCGCAGCCTCAGCTCCAGCGGTCTCTGATGGTGAGTGGCTCTTCAGGGGCCGTCATAAAAGTCTGTGCACTCGGGGAGAGGGGAAGGCCTCAGGCTTATAGTTCTAGAAACCGACCTCAAGTTTCAGAGAACTAGCTTTTTCCGTCTCAACCAGCAACGTGGAGACTACAAGTCCCGGTGTGCACCGCGGCTCTGGCCGCCAAAGCCGGGAGTGTTGGGAACCTGTCCTGTCAGGGTAGGTGGGGCCATGTCGGGAGATGTAGTCTAGAGCTCATGGTTCGGTTAAGTGGGGCAGATTGGGAGTTGTGGTCCAAAGGAAAATGGACGTTTTGGAATCCGGGGTGTGGGGCATTATTTATCAGGCTCTGGCGCATACAAGCTACTGCCACTTGCGGCTGCTTTGGCACCATGGGAACAGTGCTATGGAGCCTGAGAAGTTACAAGAGCTGAATCCTTGAGCCGTAACGGTCCCTGCAGGACATGGGAAAAATAACGCTCACAGATTATCTAAACTTCGTCTTCTACAGATAGTGACACTGAGGGAAATTTTCCCCAAAATCTCACATAAGCCACTGGGAAAACGCAGGCTTTCTGTCTCCAAATTCAGGGCACCGTTCACTCCAAGGCTGGTGTGTAAAGCATGCCTGTAACAAAGGCTTGAAGGGAAAGCTACTATTTCTTGCCGTCATGGAAAATATTCCCACACCATGGCCTAGCTTGGCATCTTTCACCGCGGCCCTTGCCTGAGCATTAATATTCATGGTCCTGTCCTTACCCCCAGGTGGTGTGAGCACAAGCTCAAAATCTGGAGATGAGCTAGTAGTCCAGGTTCCTGTGGTGGATGTGCAAAGTGACAACTTTAAGGAGATGTGGCCATCCCTTCTGTTGGCCATAAAGACAGCTAGCTTCGTGGCTGTGGACACGGTGAGGGTTTGGGATTGGGGAGAGCAGCTGGTTGTGAAAGTGCTGGTGCTGGGGACCTAACTGAACTCTCCCTTTACCCACCCGTAGGAACTGAGTGGGCTGGGGGACAGGAAGAGTTTGCTGAACCAGTAAGTATAACCATGACCTCTTTGGTTCCAGCCTTGATGAGGGGAATGGGGGGATAAACCTTAATCCTTGAGTGGAGGTCACATCCTGGGTGGTTTGGGTCCTTCATGAGACTAACTCCTAGCCACAGCCACCCCCAAACCCAACTCCAAGGTGCATTGAGGAACGTTACAAGGCCGTGTGTCATGCTGCCAGGACCCGTTCTATCCTCTCCCTGGGCCTTGCCTGCTTCAAGCAGCAGCCAGACAAGGTATGGGGCTGGTTTCACCCACTTCCCAGGTTTGTGGCTAGGGGGAGGAAGATGGTTGAGATCCTGGGGAACATCGTGTGTGAGGTTGTGATATAGCAGATCCTCCTCCTCACCCAGGGCGAACACTCATACCTGACCCAGGTGTTCAACCTGACCCTGCTGTGCATGGAAGAGTATGTCATAGAACCAAAGTCTGTGCAGTTTCTGGTACAGCACGGCTTCAACTTCAACCGGCAGTATGCCCAGGGTATCCCGTACCACAAGGGCAATGACAAGGTAGGCCTCCAGCCTGGAGACTGCCCCTTCCGTGACTCTTTCTTCCTACCCTAGGCTGGATGCACGGGGAGGATCTGCTTCTTACAGCAAATGGGGAATCACTAGTGACAGGGCTGGAGAAACAAGACTAATACGTGGGTGAATAGCACTGAGTTAGGAGGGAGGGAGTGCTTTCCAGGTAGGGGAGCTTAGAATAAGTATGGGACTCTGTCCTTCCCCATGACCCCTTTCTTTCCACCCAGGGTGATGAGAGCCAGAGCCAGTCAGTGAGGACACTGTTCCTGGAGCTAATCCGGGCCCGCAGGCCCCTGATACTGCACAATGGTCTCATAGACTTGGTGTTCCTGTACCAGAATTTCTATGCACACCTACCTGAGAGCTTGGGTACCTTCACTGCTGACCTGTGTGAAATGTTCCCAGCTGGCATTTATGACACCAAATATGCTGCTGAGTTTCATGCCCGCTTTGTGGCCTCCTACCTAGAATATGCCTTCAGGAAATGGTGAGGGACTGGTTGAGGGAAAGGGATGGGGCCTGGTGTAAACCTGTTTCATTCATTTAGGATATTTATTGGGTGGTTACCATGTGCCAGGTACTGTTTTAGGTGCTGAGGATTCAGCAGTGAACAAAACAGAAACGCTTGTTCTCATGGAATTTATATGCTAGTGGGCCAATATCCTCTTGCGCTGTTACAGTGAGCGGGACAATGGGAAGCAGCGGGCAGCTGGCAGCCCACACCTTGTCCTGGAGTTCTGCAACTATCCTTCTAGCATGAGGGCCCACATAGACTACCGCTGTTGTATGCCCCCTGCAACCCACCGTCCTCATTCCACCAGCGTCTGTGACAAGTTCTCGGTGAGAGCACCCACCCATTTCCTAGGGGAGGGGAGGATCTGGTACCTGGAACCCCTCTCTAGTCCTTCTTCCTACCTCTAGGCGTATGGCTGGTGCCCCCTGGGATCACAGTGTCCTCAGTCCCACGATATTGACCTTATCATTGACACTGATGAAGCTGCCATGGAGGACAAGCGGCGACGGCGACGACGTAAAGAAAAACGGCGGAGGGCTTTGTTGGGCCTGCCTGGGAAACAGACCTCTGGGGAAACTGAGGATGGCCCTCCCACGAAGCAGGTCTGTGGGGAAGGCCTCAAGGCTGAGAAAATTGAGCAGGAGGTGGCTGAGGATGAGACTAGCAACCAGCCTGGCTCTCAGCAAGGTCACAAAAATGACCTAGAGGTGGAACTTAAAGCAACAAGGCCTGAAACAGCTGACGTGGCTACCTTAGAAGCACCAGGGAGTCTAGTCGGTCCTAACCCAGTGCCTGCAGATGGACTGCATCGGGCTGGTTTTGATGCCTTTATGACAGGTTACATAATGGCCTATGTGGCAATGGGTCAAGGACCTCAGCCCTGTAGCTCTGGACCCTGGCTACCTGAGTGCCACAACAAGGTATACCTGAGTGGCAAAGCTGTACCCCTCACAGTGGCCAAGAGCCAGTTCTCCCGTTCCTCCAAAGCCCACAAGCAGAAGATGAAGCTGGCTTGGGGCAGCAGCTGACTTAACTTCTACTGCACTCAGAGCCCAAGAAGAGAAAGCTGAGGGTAGAACGAGGGGTCTGGGTCCCTTTGGCCTATGAATGTCCCACTCCCAACTACTACAGAGTTGAGGAGCAGGGGGTTCCCGACAGAGATACTGCTACATTGCTCCTGGACCTTCTTGACACCAGAGGCTGAGGAACAACGGTACAAGTAAGAAGGCTGATCAGCATCTGTAACATCAACTTTATTTTTTAATCTGAAAGTGTTTTGGGATAGTTTTACCAAAAAAATCAGCAGAAACAAGTTAAGAAAATATTTGACTGGCTTCATCTTTGGTTATTTTGTATTGCGGCTCTGTAAGAACAGACTGTTCCCACATCTCCAACCACAGCAGGAAGGGAGGAAAATCAGTCCACATATAAACCGTTTAATCAATTGGGTATATTACATGTTGACAAAGACAAAGAGCAGGCCCTAGGGCCTACAAAACCAGCCCCACTCCCAACCACAAGGTTGAAAGTCATAGGGCACAACATTAAGACTCCTTCATAAATATGAAAATAGATTAATCAACTGGAAAAGATCTTTGAATAGGTTAGCTACGAGCCATGACCACCTCGCTGCCTTACTCTCCCCTTGCATAGAAATGTAGTGACGTGGTCTGACCATGTAAGTGCAAACAGCAATTATTCATTCAAGTGTCTTAGACATACTGGCAAGAAGCACCCCAGTGTTCAGGTCTGAGAAATAGTCATGCCCTTTATGGCCTCCTGGCCAGCTCCAGGTTCCATCCAGTAGCTTATATGCCCCAGAAAAGGGCAAGAGGCAGACCTGGGGTGGAAGGAGAACCTGGGGTAATAACCGCCTGCCAGCTCAAACTAGAACTAAGTCTTCTGGTCCTGTCTGCAGAAGTGCATTGGGGGGTCAGGTGGAAGCCAGAGCTCCTTGCTGGATTCCAGAGGCTTGGTATCAGCTGTTGGCCCTAATTAGGAAGGCCTCTCACTGCTGCCTCCCCTCTAATACACAGCCATTGGGCACTGGGAGCCCCAAAGTTGAGCCTGGCTTGGCCTAGCCTGCCTGTTCTGTGGGCCCCAGGGAAGAGTCTAGGCTGTGCACCAAGAGGGGGTGGGGAAGGGGGCACTGTGGCTTCAGCTGAAGATCCATCCTCACGGTGAAGCAGGACTTAACCCTTCACACCCATCCTGCTGTCCCTGGGTTTTCAGGCCTATGCCTGAGACAGAGAAGGGGACTGGAGCCAAGCCCCTTGGCCTTTCTTCTTCTACCTCCATCTCCTCAGAGGTACCTGCAAGGCATGGACTGGCCCCCTGAGGCCTGGGCCCAAAACCATTTTCTTCCTGGGGAGTGGAACAGTCCATGGCTTCATGGGCTGGAGCAGCTGGTAGGGCAGGTGCTCGGAATGGCGGGATATCTCTTACTTTGTACTTGAGACTACTGAGACGTGGTAGGGGCCCATCAGACAGTGATTCCTCTTGACCTACAAATGGACAGGCCTCTTGATGCAAAAACTCTGGTGAACCAGGCAAAGAACGCCACCGGCGAGCAGGTGGGGCCAGGGGTTCCTGCCAGTCAGCCACAGGCAAAGTTCCAGGCCCTGGTGCATCCAGGTCAAATACAAGGGAGATAACAGACTTGCTGGGCAGGTCAAAAAACTTGATCTTGCCACCCTTGAGGTCCTGGCGAGCACTGAAAGGGTTGATTTTGGGTGTGCGGGCAGCACCACCTCGTGGCTGGTAGTAGGGGTCCAAGACATTCACTGTACGTGGGGGCTTGTGGGAGAAGATGTCTGACTGGCTTCGAGACAGCCAGATAGTACGTCTTGGGCGTGGGGACTTGGGAGGGATCTTGTCATCTAGTGAGCTCAGTCGCTTCACCCCAGGTCCTTTTTCCAAGAGTCCTAAAGAATAATACATCAAATCAGGGTTACTTTCACTAGTCACGACACATAGCAGCAGTATACAAAATGGTTTTTTGTTTGTTTGTTTTTCACTTGAGAAAACAAAGTAGGTGCTATTGTCCTCATTTCACCAGTGAGAAAACACACACAGAAGGGAGGTGATATACCAAGTCACAACTCTTGGAGTTCAGTACTTTTTCCATTGTCCCCTTGCCCCTGCACCTTTCTTTTGAACATGGAATCACAGCCGTAGAGGAGAAGACCCCACAACCTAATTTCCTCCCTTGGGGTCAGATTGGGCACTGGTCAAATCTCTTACCCTTGGCTGTGGGCTGCAGCTTCCTGTCCCTCTCCAGCTCTTCCTCCTGTAGACGGCTCAGAATTTCCTCCAGAGTCTTCTCAATCTCCACAAAGGATGGGCGCAGTTTGGGGTCCATCTGTAGTCCACAGCAGCCATTAGTCCTGCCCTCCAACCTCCCACCCCAAGGATAACATTTTAGTCTGTTTCTAGCATCTTTTAAGACTCACATGCAGCTAAGAGATCTTTTCTGAAGGCCACAGACCATGAGGATAACTCCCAGAGATAAGATCAGGGGAGATGCTATTATCTAATACCCTCCCCTATCGCAGCACCCTTTCTGTGTCTTATTCCCTTGTCCCCTTGTTTGGCACAGAACTCTCCTAGAGGGTTTATTCTGTTCTTTCTTGAGTTCTGCAGCTAATGTGTTTCTTGAAGCTACCTAGACAGAGCCCAGCTACTCCTTGGTCATAACAGGTAGGTAGGTCCAGCCCTAGAGCTGTATGAAATGAAAGCTAACAAGAAAGGCAACGTGTGGTGGGTCTACCCTACAGGCTAAGGATTGGATATTACAAAGCTGCTTTCCTTTCCTTGGTCCAGGGCTCTGGAGAGTCTGGCAGGCCCAGAGGAGGGGGCAAGGGCACTGCCATTCATCAGTGAAAATGAGGCCCCTCATGAAGCTAATTAAGGAGCCCTTCCCTATAGTCCTAATCAGGTGAACCCAGCCCCTGACCAAAAACAGAAGCAGGTAGAGACACTCACATTACAGCAGTTGAAGGTAAGCTGCAAAAAGTCTGGGGGACAGTCTCCCACCATGTGCTGGAAAGCGTCATAGTCCAGCCCGAAGTTCTGTGCATGGGTATGGTGGGGAGGGAACAGGGGACATGGGTAAATGGGTTATTAATCCCTCCATCCATCCTGGCCCACTCAGAAGGAGAGGCTGGGAGTTGCCCCTGAGAAATAGCCACACAGACTAATTCCACCCCAAGAACAACTGTCTCAAAAGCAGCTTCACCGCAGTGGTACAAATGCCCATGCCTGCAGCTCACCTCTGTGCGGGGAAGGTAGTCCGGATCAGCCTGGATACGGGCGATGATCTCACAGAGGATGATACCATAAGAGAACACGTCCGCCTGGTGGGTAGTAAGACCTCAGTTTCCCTCTCAGTGGGGCGTGAGGTGGGGTTTCTGCACCTCATGTCCACCAGCACAGGCCTGGGCCTGAATGCCCATTTCATTCACTGGGTAGCTGCCAGGTACCAACCCTGCTCCTGTTTGCAGAATCTCACCCTAAACATAAAGGGTGATCCTGGACACTGCTAAGAGTGTATTCTGAGAACCAAGCCTTGGTTCCCTAGACTCACCTTCTCATTGTAGGGCTCATCTCGGAGAACTTCAGGTGCCATCCAGAAGGGTGAGCCCACCACAGCCAGCTTCTCACTGCCCCCGCTGTGGGGCGAGATTATAGGGAAAATGAGCTTGTTACTGGCTGGTGCAATGGGACATCTGAATTTTGGGAATTTTCCCCTGAGGATAGGCGCAGACTAGGACTGATCAAATTTAGGGAGCTGAGGTTAAGCTGTGACCATGTCCTGGCCTCTGGGGAGGAAACTGGAGTTTTCCTTTTGCCTTAGTCCCTTCTGTAACCCCAGCACCCGTTAGGGCTACCCACCTGACATCAGGAATCTTCTCAGCCAGGCCAAAGTCAGCTACCACTGCAGAATAACCATTTTCATCCCTCTTTATCAGGCAGTTCTACAGTTCCCAAAGAAGAAGACAGTGTGGCTCAGAAGTGGGGACCAAGCTGCCGTAAAATCACCACCACCACCCCCGTCACAGGGCACCTTGCTCCTTGCAAGTATACCTTAGGCTGACTCTGGTGATCGGACCTGGGGGTTCTGACAGCCATGTGAGATGAGTTAGGCCTGGATCTTGGGTGGCTGCCCTAGGGTTCATATCACGCTCCTACCACCAATACTTATCTTTGCTTTCTATGTGCTAGGCATGTTTCTAAGTGCTAGAGATATGCCAATGAATGAAAACCCTTGTCCTCTTGGAGCTAACAACCTAGTGGAAGAAAGACAGACTGTCAGCGCCCTGGCCTCCCTTCCTCTTTTCCTCAGAATGTGGAGACCAAAGGCCAGGCCTGACATTACCAAGAAATGTAAGCATAGGACAAGCATCCAAGGCTACACTAACTTTCACTGCCCACAGGATCATACATAATCTCCTCTCTGGTATTGAAGCCTATGATCTGGCTCTAACCAACCAGCCTACCTCACACCTGTGCCCTCTGGCCCTGGTGCCCCTGCACACATCTTCACCCAGACTTGTCACAGACATGCTTGCCTTGTGAGGCCTGAACAGGCTCTTCAAACCTTTGCCTTTGCTTATACTGTTCCCTTCCATTTGGAATGTTCTCCAAATTCTCCTTTTTACCTCAGAAAATTTTGTGTGTTAAGGCAAGCTACATTTCCAGCCCTGCCCTCTCCAGTTTTCACCTTTATGTGTTTCATCTCAACTCCTTTAACTCCTCTATGCCACTTCCTCTTACAGTCTAGCAGGCTATCACCTCCTCAGGAGCAAGCTCTGGTTCTCCACAGCATTCAACTCAAGAGAGGCTCAGGTCATGCTCACTGAGCAAATGCTACTGTCTCCAGAGAAAGGGTGAGCCCAAAAAGCTCATAAATAAATATAAAGCAGTGACAAACTCTCCCCAAACAACTGCATTCAGAATAGCCCTACACCACTGTGGCTCAGGAGGCACCTTGCTTTACTCTACTTCCAGAGGCAACAGACAGCAGGGATCCTTGGCTCACAGGGACATTTCTGGGGCCAGCAAGGCCCTATCTGACCC